TCAGCCTTCCAAGTAGCTGGAACTACAGGCGTGCGCTACCATGCCCGGCTAATTTTTTGACTTTTATTGTAAAGATGAGGTCTCGCCAAGTTGCCCAGGCGGGTCTCGAGCCCGTGGGCTCAGGCAATCCACTCACCTCGGCCTCCCAAAGCGTGGGATTACAGGCTGAGCCACCGAGCCTAGCCTTGTTTTTGTTTTCTGTGTTGGAGTCTCACTCTGTTGCCTAGACTGGAGTGCAGTGGCACACTCCTGGCCACTGCAGCCTGGACCTGCTGCACTCCAGTGATCCTTCCACCTCAGCTTCCAAGTAGCCGGAACTACAGGCATGTGCTACCACACCCGGCTAATTTTTGATTTATTGTAGGGACGAGGTCTCATCAAGTTGCCCAGATGGGTCTCCAACCCACCGGCTCAGGCAATCCACTCACCTCGGCTTCCCAAAGTGCTGGCATGACAGGCTGAGCCACTGAGCCCAGCTGTAAACAATGTTTTCATCACATAGTGGAATGGTCTAGAGTAGGGGTCCCCAAACCCTGGGCTGTGGACCAGTACCGGTCCATGGCCTGTTAGGAACTGGGCCTCACACAAGAGGTGAGCAGCAGGTGAGTGGAGCTCCCCCTCCTGTCAGATCAGCAGAGGCACTGGATTCTCATAGGAGCACAAACCCTATTGTGAACCGTACATGCGAGGGGTCTCGGTTGCGTGCTTCTGATGAGAACCTAATGACTGATTATTTCCTTACCTTTGCTGCTCTAGATCAGTGGTCCTCAACCTTTTTGGCATCAGGGACTGGTGTTGTGGAAGACAATTTTTCCAAAGATCAGGGTGTGTGTGGTGGGGATGGTTTCCGGATGATTCAAGTGCATTACATATGTTGTGCACCTTATTTCTGTTATCATTACATTGTAATATATAATGAAATAATTATACAACTCACCATACAAACAAAGAGGCATAGACAGAAGTGGGAAATAAAATAGTGGGCGGGCCACGCATGGACCAAAATAAGTATCACATTCTGATTTAAAACCTGCCACCAGATGCAGCTTTACAATTGAAGTACATTTACTCACTTGCCACTCACTGATAGGGTTTTGATATGAGTTTGCAAGCACTTGATGTATTATGATCTCTGTGTAGTCAATCCTCACTGCTGTTGGAGTCTCACTCTGTCACTCAGACTGGAGTGCAGTGGCACGCTCCTGGCCACTGCAGCCTCAACCTGCTGGGCTTCAGTGATCCTTCTGCCTCAGCCTTCCAAGTAGCCGGAACTACAGGTGCGCACTACCACACCCAGCTAGTTTTTTATTTATCGTTGAGTTGAGGTCTCACCAAGTTGCCTGGGCAGGTCTCAAACCTGCGGGTTCAGGCTGTCCAAAGTGCTAGGATTACAGGCTGAGCCACTGAGCCTGGCCTTCACTGCTAATGTTAATCTGTATTTGCAACCACTGCCCATCACTGCCTCAGCTCCACCTCAGCTCATCAGGCATTCGATTTTCATAAGGAGCATGTAATCTAGATCCCTTGCATGTACGGTTCATGATAGGATTCGCGCTTCTGTGGGAATCTAATGCCACTGCTGATCTGACAGGAGGTGGAGCTCCAGCAGTAATGTGAGTGATGGAGAGCAGCTGTAAATACAGATGAAACTTCACTCACTCACCTGCCATTCACTTCCGCTGTACGGCCAGTTCCTGACAGACCACGGACCAGTACTGGTCTGTGGCCCAGGGGTTGGGGAACCCTGATTTAGAGCAATTAAAAATAATACACTAAATCTACATGAATCAACAAGGATAAAGCAAGTTGCAAAAGAATATGTGTAGAGCCAAACGCAGTGACACATGCCTGTAGCCCCAGCTACTTGGAAGACTGAGACAGGAGGATGGCTTGAACCTAGAAGTTCAAAGTCCAGCCTGGGTTATGAAACCCATTTCAATCAATCAATCAATCAATCAATAAGAAGGGAAGAGATTTATGATAAAAGAAGCAGACTGAATACAAGTACTTATTTCTAATCCTTGCCAAGATGACAATAAATGAGTAAAAAATATAAACTTATAAGGACAAGGAGAACAGGAGAGAAAACAACAGCAGGTAGAAAGACCAACAAATGTCTGCCTAGAAAATCTTAAAGACCCTACTAGAAATCTACCAAAAGTCATAAGAAAACCTGGCAGAATGACTGAATATAAGAGAAGTATTTTAAAAATCAATAGCATTTCTTCACATTACCATCAATACTTAGAAATGGAAACAAAAAGGCCGGGTGCAGTGGCTCACGCCTCTAATTCCAGCACTTTGGTAGGCCAGGGTAAGAGAATTGCCTGAGCCCATGGG